TTACTATTATAATAAGTAATAACAGTATTATATTTTGTTCAAAAATATATTTTAATATATAATTTTATATAATTTTAATCAAAAATAATATATAATTTTTTTAAAACAAGGTTTTTTTTTTTAAATTACATATAATAATTTTTTATAAATATTTGTTAATTATAATCAATAGTAAAACCTAATCAATTTAATTTAAACTATTCAATAATGGTTAATATAGGTAATATTTTATAGATTAAAAATGGACTTAATCAACAACTATGCATGATAGTTTACCTATAAATATGAAATGGGGGCGAATATTAAAATACAGAATACTGCTAAAAATTAAAGCTATTTAATGTATAAAAACAGGTATGTTTTTTCTACCATATTATTTTACTATTGATGAAATAAATAAAGTAAAAGGATACTGATCTGCTATTTGTCTATCATCATGAATATGAAGTTCATTGAGAGAATTTAATTCTTCATTTACTGAATCAGAATCACTGTATGATATAAATGGTTTATAATCAGGATAGTTAGATGACCACATATTTTCATAATCATTCAAATTAGCAACAACTTCTGATTTAAATTTAGCAACAGAGTTGTAATCTTCTACCATTTCCGACCATGTTGAGTTTTCTTCTTGTATCAAATTCTCAATTTCTTGCTATAAACAGTAAATATAATAATTCATTTTTTTTTTGTTCAAACTTAGGTAGTTATGACTTATTGCTATTATAATAGTGATAATATATATATATTATTTATAATATATATATATATAAATATATAATATATAATATATTATAATATATACCTATAGATCAGAGGTCTTCAACCACCTTATCTTTAATTTAGGCTATTGAGCACATTTATTTTGTATAAATCAACGACTACCGGCTAATTCACATATTTTAATTATTACTTAGAGATAACATATACCTATATGTATATAATGTATAATTTATTAACAGCAATGAGTAATGTACACAAAAAAAGAAAGAAAATTTATTAACAGTAAAATCATTTACAATAAATATCAAACAAAAGTTAATATATAAAACAAAAACATTTTTTTCTTGCTTTACTTAAAGCCAACTTTCTTAGTCGTTCATTTAAGTCCAATGATTTTAACAAATTATTCTCAGAATATAAAATCATTTGTATGTCTAAGTTTTCTTGGGTTTGACTGGTTATATACTTATTTTTTACTCTAGTTAATTTAGGAAAAGCTCTCTCCGTACATAAATAACATTATTAACTATTGATGATATTATTGATATCAATGAAAATATTAAATAACAGTAAAATGCGTCTTTTCTACCATTCTGTTTTGTAGGTATTTACTATTTAGTTGTTTTTGTAGATAAAAAAATGGTTTTTAAAATATAGAAAAACTTTTCTTTAAAATCACTAAAAAATGTGTATCAGCTTAAAATTGTTTGGGCCCCTTTAATTTTGGTACTTGAGAGGGACCTGAGGCTTCTGCCCCGGCTAGATCCCCCTTAATCCGGCTTTGAGACTATGTGGTAGGTGGTTAATTTTTAAGACATAACCGGTAAAGGAAAACAACCTTTATTGGACTCTTTCAATTTGTATTATGTTTTCTCGAGTGTAAGGAGAGGAGACCATACTACCGACCCATATTCCAGGATCGATCTTACTAATAAAGTATATATTGCTATAAGACAGTGAGCTTGGTTAAAATCTAATAGATTACAGGGAATGAAACGCTAAGTACATTAAGCTTTACATGTAATGTATTCAATGTGATTATTGAAGGATAACAATGGCACTAGTCTAAATCCTAAATCATCCACTTGATTTACTCGAAGCAAGGTACGGTTATATATTAGATAATCATGAATCATACTTTTACGCATTCTGAAGAATGTCATAGTCTTGCATTTATCTAAGTTTAAGGATAGCAAAACTGTTCCGCACCATTTAACCAACTTAAATAAAGCCATTTGTAATACTATGGCACTAGGCAGTCATCCATAATAATTATGTTGTGAAAAAGTTTTGCATCATCAGCAAATAAGAGGATTCTACGTGGTAGACTGACTTTAGATACCACTTCAATAAAGATATTGAATAATAAAGATGATATGTGGCCACCTTGTGGTACACCTGACGTAACTATTATGTTATCTGACCTTTTCTTAAATAAGCTAACAAATTGTAATCTATCATTATAAACATAGCATGAATTTTGTATACATTTTGGATAATTTAAATTTGAATACATGTTTTTATTACGAGTGCAGCCCTCAATTTTTTTAAAAATAATAGGTTAGGTATAAGGTGGTTAGCTGGCCTGCTGCCTAAAATGGTTTAAGACCCCTACTGTAGATATTTAGATAAATGTAAAAAGTAACTTATTTTTAAATACCTTTTTATTTTCTACATCCTTGATCATATCTTTCAACATTGATAGTACTTTGACACCTCGACTAGAATTGTTAGAATACATCATACTCATAGGATGAGCTACTTTTGCTTCTAATGATTTAACCTGAGTATCTATACGTTTAGCTAAAGCATGCATATCATTAAAATTCATATTTTATTATTTGGTCCAGTTAGCCAACAATAAATTATTACTAATGATAGAACTTTCAAAATGTTTAAATATTTTATTCTAAAGAAAACTCTATGAAAAAAAATTTAAAAAAATACTCAATATTATACATAGGTAATAAAGATGATTGAACCATTAATTAAGGATATAGCCCATAGGTATAAATAAAAACAACAGAATTAGTGTAGATTGTAAAACTAGAAAAATATATTTATTATTTTAATTTTGATAATATTATTATTTAGTGGTATTTACGCGCGGAAACTAACGCGCCGTTACAAAAACATGGTCACGGTTTTAGATAATACTATCTATAGTAGATAATACTATCTATTGAAAGTCAAATTAAATTTTTACATTTCATATTCACTCGATTTCTCATGTAACGATTTTCTTATTTTATTGTAACTGAAAAATTAATGACTGTAGATACTTGAAAATTTAACTGAATGTTTATATTAGTATTTTCTATACACCATACAATTTTCAAAATAATTTGACTTTTTTTTTAGCTGTTTACAAACAAGTTTTCAATTTTTTTAGTTTTTTTTCTATAAATGCCAATTAAATTTTATTTGTTGGGTAAAAAAGCTTGAAAATTTAATACAAGGCTCTTGATATATTGTTACAATAGCAGTTGAAAAATATTAAAAATACCTAGGCACAATTTTTTTTATAAGCATTTAAATTTCAAATTTTGACAAAATTTATTACTTTTAAAATTTAATCATAATTTTGTTGTTAAAAATGTATAAAATGTTCAAATTTTATAGCTAAGGAATGAAAATTTAAAACGAGATTCCACGTAAATAGGTTATATATAAATTACTTTATTCACCTTAACATCATCAAACATACTTTGTAATATCATAGGCTGACTGACCGTTTTCGCTCAGAATCGTTTTTCTTATACAATGATATTATATCATTGAATTCAAATTTAACACCATCCATTACAGTGGCCCACTTATAACCTACTGTACAGCAGAGCGACATCCACTTACCCACCTTTTTATGAATGTAAATTGTAATATTCATAATATTAGTAATAATTTATATATTTAGAAAACACAGATTTTGAGCGGAACGATGAAATTATGATTGTACCTATTGATTCAATCATGATGTTTGTGGTTTTTTTCTTTGTGAATGTCTTCACCTTTTGAGTAGTAAAAATGCTTCAATCTTCAACTTTAAAGGTGGTATCTACTATCTTGTTAGAGATTTTAATTTCCAACTAAATTTTTATTGGTATTTTTTTGACAAGATAATTTTCAAAATATTTTGGCACTTTTTTTCTTTAGATATTTAGAAATTATATTTATATTATAATTATTTTTGGTTGTGAGAAAAATCGTTAAAAATATAGTACAAGGTTCCTCATAAGTTTTTCTTACAACAACCTAAAAATATCAAAAATACATAATATACAATAATCGTATAGTTCGTATATGATCTAAGATAAATATATATTGTACGTATGGTGGTACAGTTGAACTGCGTTAAACCTAATATTACTTATGGCCGTTATAGGTTATTTAATATTTATAAATAATAAGTATATTTGTAAACATTTTATACATATATTTGAAGTATCTATAACAAATAACAATACAAAAAATGAAAATGAATTTATATTGATTAAATTTATAATACCTATACGACATAGGCCATATCAGATACTTATTACCTAATTAGTAACTAATTACCTACAAGTACTATTCGACTACCAAAATCCTATATGGGTACCTACAACCTACTTATATAGCTAGGACTTATAATAAGAAGGTAATCACCAGGGCTCAGATTTTATAGCACTAAAAATAACTGAAATATGGGCTATAATATGACCTAAAAAATCATAAAACAAGCACTATAATATGTCCTAAAACATGAAAAATAGCAAAAATTAAATTTTATTTTGTTCACATTTAAAAAAACTTATATTTATGAATTAAAAGTATATATATTTTTTTTTTTTTTAACTTTATTTTAAAAACATACAATCTGTAATTTAAATTTATTTGACATGCGACGCTTGAAAAAAAAGTATATATATAAATACGAGCCGTACAACCAATAAGGAGTTATAATTGTTTACTGTTTGATAGGCCAATACACCGGATGTGGGTAATTTTGCTATATATTCAAATACAATATAATTAAAATAAATTACAGAATTTTTCTATTTTTCATACTCCATTATATAAACTAGATTTATGAAAATACTAAATAAAACATTATTATATTATGCAAATTAGCAAAAAATAGAACATTTGAAAATTGCACTAAAAACCTAATATACTTCAATCTTCAAATATACAAAAATCTGTATCCTATAATAATTAGCAAATGCAATAAAATCCTAGCCCTGGTAATCACTATCTTAATATTTTTTATTAAAAATTATCCAAATATACTTTTATCAAGATTGTTTTTCTTTAGATTTTCTATTCAATAATCTAGAAATAACTTTGAAAATTAAGTAGTAAAATAATACAAAAATTGTTGTTATAGATAAGAAAATTATAACCAATACATCGATTAAATAGTATTGGTACCATGGCATACCGACGGCAACAGACTGAAGATGCGGCGCCCCTTTGTGTCGGATGACATACTCTGTCCAATACACTGCAGTTTCCAAAGGAGACATAGGTCGATCACGAAAAGCTTCTGATAACTCTTTAGCCTTTTGTCTGTATCTATATTTAATAAATTGATAAATATCACAAATAAATAACTAGAATTGTCGCAAATTATATTCCAAAAGTCATAATGACTCATAAGATCATAAGAATAATTATTGACGTATTACTGCGGTGGACCACGGTTCGTGATATTAAACATAATTACGATACACTTACTTAGGATTTGTGAGCATGGATGTTATTTTTATAAAAATATCATCTTCATTCAAATCTCCGTAATTCATCATCTCTGCAGCTCCTTTGCTTACAACAGCTTTGATGTTTGTCATTTGATCACCGAAAATTGGCATTGATAAAATTGGAACACCTTCATATACAGCTTCGGTAGTTCCCAATAGGCCACCATGAGATATAAATAGCTTAACATTAGGATGAGCTGTATACAAATAAAAATAAAATAAACATTATTTACACACAATAATTAACTTATACCTATTCAAATTCAATATTCATGTTCAAAAATTAAAAAGTAATACAGTTTATACCACAAGTTAAATTTAAAATTGCTGCATTCGGTATATACAAACCGTAAATTTGCAAACGTTTATACAATTTTATTTAACGTCATAAAGTATGTCAAACGCGTATTTATAAGTACCTAATATATCTCGTTGAGGCATCCATTTGCGAATCATTACATTGGACAGTTTTCCTGGTAGTTCTCCTTCCCATTTCCACAGAATGCGTTGTGGGATTTTCTTAAAGACATTCAAAAACATTTGTCTTTTTTCGGGTGAAAAAGTTTCGCCTCTTAATAAACTGCCCATGCAGAAATAAATTACTCCGTTCTCAGCTTCGTCAATATATTTCTGGATGTCCTGAGTATATATGTAAAAATATTATTGAATTAATAACCGTATAATAATTATAAAACAATTCAACAATATATTAGTGTTATTCAATTTTTATTTTTTTTTTGTATTCAAACCTCTTCCAGAGGTTTTGAAGGTTTTACGTGAAGACCTCCTACTTCGACAACGTTTTGTGGTAGCGGCCTACTGCCCCATAAAGCATGGTATGTGTTTACAAACAACAAACTAGTCCTCAATACTAACTGATCTAAGTGTGATGACTCTTTATAATGTTTTGAAGCGATTTTCTGAGAGGATATCGTCGATTCCGTATAATACTTATAAAATGCTATTGATCGCATCAGTGTGTTATAAATCCGTTCCGCCAAATTCATATGTGGTCCGTTCGTTGTCATTAGTACTGGTATGTATGCAGGATGAGTGGACGCTCCCATGCGATCGGCGGACCACACAAATAATGGGGATGTAGTCCACGCAATGAACGGGGCTTTGAATCGTTCTATCAACGCCAGGTATAAATCAGTGTTACATGTTTCGGTCACAATTAAATCGTAAGAGTCTTCTGGCTGGGCGTACAGTTGACGCAGTGCATTGGACTGAGTGTATGTTTCTCCATTACGCACGATATGAAACATGTGTTTATAACTATTTAAAGTTGATGGCGAGTACATATGGTCCATGGTCACGTAGTTGGGGTCCAATAAGGATGACGTGTTGCTGATTTGTATTCGCTTGTACTGTTCGGAGGCAATGTCTGGAAAATGTGAATACACTGTCACATTATGGCCACGGCGGTGAAGTTCGGACATGTAAGAGTCGAAAATTATCTGATGACTAGGGGCTTCGATTGGAAATACACCTAGAATGTCTGCACACAAACCTTCTTGGAAAAACGAAAATAAAATCAACAATAATTGTAAAATTACAATCTGTGAGCTGAAATTAATAATTTCCATTTTGATTATATTTGAACACACTGCCGTCTACCAGAATACAAACATGTTGTTGAATGACGTTTTAATTTATATTTTGGAATAAAATTATCTACATTTATTAATCTATTAATTAGAGGAAATAATATACCAATAGGTTTTTTTTTAATCAAAATACTGACTGCTTATAATAACATATTAATTAATAACTATATAACTCAACCGAAATATGGATCATAAAAACTATGATTTTTATTTCGTATTAAAATATATAGTACCTAGGTAGGTACCTAATTAGTTAATAATGACATGATTCGATGATTGATTTTACATGTTCTACTGAAATAAAAAATATTATTATGATATCAAAAATTAGACACTATAGTGTCTTAATAGTGACTATTACTACCTATATAGCCATATGTGTAACAGTTTGAATGGTTTGATTAGAATTATGTGTACTGTATAATGTAACCCATCGATTTCCACAACATCTAGTACTAACGGTTTAGATTTAAACATAGTGAAATAAGTTTTAAGTTTTAACTACGATCAAATTAGCATTGAAAATGTATTGGGCTACTGAAATTTCAAAGTCAACATTTCTTTTGATTATTGCTTCGTCTTTAGTCCCAGTGTCCCACACAGCAGTTTAAAACCAAATAGTTGTAGGTACTGTACGAACAATTGTCTTAATACTTCTGCTATAAAAGTTAATTTTTGTGGTTAGGCCGGTCAATATTGAAATTATATTATTGGCTAAAGAATATGGTTATTCAATCGTATGCTGATTCTAGGGAAAAGGTTGCAACTATTTACTCAAAAGTATAAAAAATATGTTGAACTTTAATTTTCAAAACCCAAAAATAATTCGTTAGGTATTAAAAAGTCATATAATGACTAAATCAAATTTAGTAGGACTGTTTAATAATGTCTTCGGGACTTTATACAGTCTATAGTGTGTATCGTAAATATGGCATCATATTCATCATATATTTTATAAAATAAAAACTCCAATTATATTCCGTTGTATTTTGTTCATTGAATTGTCTTCGAAATGGTTGTTGTTTTTTTTTTGTTATTGGAAATAGACATTGCTTCTATAATTGATATATTGTTATTTATGTTTGGATATTCTGTCGTATAGTTACTGATAATAGTGATGTTGTGTCCTCGACTTGCAAGTTGCAAGTCCTTGAATACACGAAGCCATGGAGAGTAAACCAAATTATGACTTAAGCCTTAATGAGGGAACACAGCCAAGATGTTTGCCGTGTCCACTGGAGAATCCACTGTTAAACTAATAATTAGTGTTAAAAATAAAACAATCAGTATAGTTATAATATATCTAGCTTATTATAATATTATTATCTAATATATGTATGAACATTGAACACTCTTGTATTATAAAGATAAAACACTGAATAAGATTAAAATGGGGAAAAATAAATTATAATAGTTAGTTGCTATTATATATTTTATTAGGTTTTTAGTCAATAACATTAAACTCAATGTTTAGTAAGTTAGGAAAACGTTAGCTATCTATACATATACATCTAAAAAAGTTCATAAATATATTAAAATTAAACACTATAAAACACAGTTTTATCGTATATTGAGTCAGATAAGAACAAAACAAAAAGACTTTATTGTAGCTAATCACCAACTAATGAATAACAATAAAATTGTGTTATTAATGCGTATATACACTATATAGGTAAATTATTAATTAGAAGGAGTAGGTATTTATACCAATTAAATTATATCTTTAAAAGATAAGATCAGGCTGTTGAATGAACAAATAAGTACTATTGTTGTAAGACGTCTTCTAGGATAAAACATATTAGACATTTTTAGTTGATTTTATGAATAGCTTTATTTATTTTAAATGATAATATACTACCAATGTAACTATATCGTTATTAAATGTCTTTTTTGCAAGTATACACATATTCTTATAAAATGTTCTTAAAAAAATGGTTTGAATTCAAAATGATCAATTATATTAGTATAAAATTAAATTAAATTAATTAAATTAATTTAATTGATTCTTTATTAATTAATACACTTAATTGATGATTATATTGTATGTACCTATAACCAAAACCAAGAATTAAAATGTATAATGGATACTCCGATAGCATTATTTATAGAAGTTTATGTCCTCAATTATAAAAATAAGAGCTATTAGTAGTTCTAAGCTAAAAATGTGTACAATGTTGGTATATCGTATCTATATCGTATCTATCCTATATCGAGTATATCGTATCTATATTATTTTATAATTTATATTTTATACTACAGTTCTGATACAGGCACGTAAGTACCCTAGTAAGAGTGGCCGTATTGGCTGCTTTTCCAATCTAGAAAATGTTATAAGTCTTAAAAATGTATCTCGGTTTTCTTTTCGAGTACTCACTCCTCACGAATATTACGAGTATACTGAGGTTTTTTCTGCTGTGAATTTGTCATAATTTTATCGTGTACTACTGAGTCACTGAGTATGAAGACAACAATTGTCTGTTTACAATTTATAGCTTGGCATAATACACCCAATTATTATCAGGGCCGTTACAAGGGGGGGTTGGGTCACTCCGGGAGGGCAAAAAAATTGCTTCTTGCCATTTTTGTTATTTGCTTATTTAAAAAATATATTTTATATCTGTCTTTAATATTTTATGACAAAAGAGGTGGATACAATCATCATTTCACTTCTAAAAAAAGTATGCCCAACTCAATGGTCATCACTGCATTCCATATATTATGGTCTATATTGCATATATCCAAATAAATTAAAATTGAGTAAATTTGCAGATAAAAATTAATTCAACTTATCTACAAAAAGTCTTCAACTAATTAGTATTGGTTTTGTTATGTGTGGGTGTGAGGGTGGTCCTCCGTTATAGATGAAGTAAAAAAAAATTGCAAAATGTTCAAGTTACCGCCCTCAAATAGGTTCAGTTACTTAAAAAAAGCATGATAAAAATTTTTTAGACGAAATGGTTAACTTTAACCCGTGTCGCAAAAGGTCTAAAGTTTTAATAACGAAAAATTTTTAGAAATCATTAGTTTTTGAATATAATTAATCATAACTCTTAAAAGAATGATTTTACAAAAATTATTTTAAAGACATTAATTGTACGTTATTATTGTTACAACAGTTTTATACTTATACATTTTTTTTAAATATATTATTATCAAAGATATTTGAGTTTAAATTTTAAAAATAAAAATGTTTAACTATTTTTTGCGTGGCAATAAATAAAATGTTTTTTATATCGTTTAATGCGATTTAAATTAACTTAAAATTAATATATATTGTATAATATGGTTTGCATGTGATCCTACACGTTTTAATCTATGATACAAGAGATAATTATAGAATCGTTAGGTGGGTAGTGTACTTAGACCTATACCCGTATTTTGCTACTGCAGAAGCTTTAGGTAATAATGTTAATGAACTTATTGTTAACCGATCATCGATACGACCCTCTCGCATAAAATACCGTAAGCAACGTGCTGAAAAAATACGTCATAACTATAACTTAGGTAAGGAAGACGCAGTTGTTATACACTGGGACGGAAAACTTCTTCCAAATTTAACCGGGAAAGGCTTAGTCGATAGGCTGCCTATAATCGCGTCTGTAAATGGTCGTGAACAACTGTTAGGTGTCCCGGCGTTAAATAGTGGAACTGGACTTGAACAAGCCAATGAAATATACTAAACGCTTGTAGATTGGTGTTTAGATGAAAATGTACAAGCACTTTGTTCCGATACTACAGCATCAAATACAGGTCGCTTAAATGGAGCTTGTGTTTTGCTTGAGCAACTATTAGAACGCGAAATAGTATATTTAAAATGCCGCCATCATATATATGAAATTATATTGAAAAGTGTGTTCGATTTGAAATTTGGTGCAACATCAGGCCCAGACGTTGCAATTTTTAAAAGGTTCCAACAAGCATGGGGAACAATTAACCCTAACAATTTTAATTCTGGCATACAAAATAGTAATGTAATGGATTCTGTAAATGACGTATGTGACGAAATTATTAAATTTTCTAAAGATCGTCTATTAGAAAAGCAGCCAAGAGATGATTGTCGAGAGTTACTAGAATTAACAGTAATTTTTTTGGGCGGAAAACTTTCAAATGATATTAGCTTTAAAACACCAGGTGCCATCCATCATGCTCGGTGGATGGCAAAAGCTATTTATAGCTTGAAAATATATTTATTTCGTGAACAGTTTCGATTAACACCCAAAGAAGAATGTGCCTTAAGAAATATTTGCATTTCTATTGTACGGTCATATATAAAAGTATGGTTTAATTCACCATCTTCAATCAAAGCTCCTTTACAAGACTTGACTTTTATGAAAAATCTTTTACATTATGCCTCTATAGATAAAGATCTATCTCAGATAGCAGTTAAAAAGTTTTGTGGTCACTTATGGTATTTATAGGCGGAATTATGCGCATTTGCTTTTTTCGATGTGGCTGTGCCACTGGAGACTGAAAGAAAAATGATTCATGCTCTAAACAACGACGAATGTTCATCAGAATTAAATTCAAATGCACAACGTTTAATTATATCTGCAAAAAATGCAAACGAGTTATTAGAAAAGGAAATTGATGATTTTATATGTGTCAATACTAAAAATCTTTTTAAACGATTTGTCATCAATACTACTTTTTTGAATGAAGACCCTTTAATGTGGGCAAATAATATAGATTATAATACAGCTCTGTCAATTTTAAAAAATATTGCAGTTATAAATGATGTTGCAGAAAGAGGAGTAAAACTTATAGAAGATTATAACAACAAAATAACCAAAGATGAATCTCAAAAACAATATCTACTACAAGTTGTTAGTGATTATAACAAAAAATATCCTGACCACAGAAAAGAAACACTTACCCAAGTTACACAGTCATAAATGTAGTTGTATCATTTATATTTAAAAAATGTTAAAATATAAGTGTTAAGTCATTATGTTATTATTTATTGTAAATTGTTTTCACGATTATTAATTGTATATGTTATGCTGATGGAAATATCTCAATTTTCAAAATTTTCAAGATCTCAAAAAAATGAAAAATGAAAAATAAGGACCACCCTAAATGCACACCCAGGAACGAGGTGCCACTGTGCGGCTTAACAGTGGAGTGAGATCTGACGCTTGAAACTGCCTGAAATGGTGAAATCACTGTAGGTAAAATGATGAACCTCAAAGACCATAGCATTTGCCTCAATAAATTCCTTTTAATTATGTTGGCTTCAAATATTCAGGCATGCAGCTCTATCTATTATATATGACCTAAGGTGAACCTTGTGATTTGTGACGTACTGACGTGTGATTTTACCAAGATGTTTATGTTTTTTTTCTTTTTGACTGTGTTCACCTTTTGAGCAGTAAAAATGCTTCAATCTTCAACTTTGTAGATGGTTTTATATTAGATATGTATTTTAGATATTTTAATAGCCAACCAAATAGCCAACCATATTTATTAGCATTTTCTTGATAAGAAAATTTTCAAAATATTTTAGCTCTTTTTGAGCTATTTAGTATTTACAGTTATTTAAAATTATGTATGAATATTATATTATATATACCTAATATATATATTGTACGTATAGGTGGTACAGTTAAACTGCGTTGAACCTTTAACATAATATTACTTATTGGGGGACGAAGTGGCCCAGCGGAGCAAGGTGTCGGTTGTGACGCGCACCGACGCCGGTTCAAAACCTCCGGCTGTGGGCTGCATTTTTTTTCAGGCAAGTCACGGTGTCCGGAGAGAAGTGCAGCCATCCCCCACCCAGGCATGGCAAAAACCTACGGGTGCCCACTAAAAATCTGCCAAACTAACAAACACACGTGTTTTAACCTACAGTACCCTCCACCACAGTTAAAATCCACCCAATGGCCTAAGTTGCAGAGGGTTAATTAGTAAAAAAATAAAAATAAAAATATTATTTATAGGTTATTTATAAATTATAATTATATAGTGTCTATAACAAATAACAATACAAAAAATGAAAATGAATTAATATTGATTAAATTTATAATACCAGCTATAACATATAGTAGGTAGGTACCTAATTAGTAAGTAACTAATTACCTGTCCTTCTATCAACTTCCAAAATCCGATATAGGTACCTACTTATATATTATATATATATACTTATATACCTATAGCACTTATAATAAGTATTTGATCACTATTTTAATATTTTTTATTAAAAATTATCCAAATATACTTTATTATCAAGATTGTTTTTCTTTAGATTTTCTATTCAATAATCTAGAAATAACTTTGAAAATTAAGTAGTAAAATAATACAAAAATTGTTGTTATAGATAAGAAAATTATAACCAATACATCGATTAAATAGTATTGGTACCATGGCATACCGACGGCAACAGACTGAAGATGCGGCGCCCCTTTGTGTCGGATGACATACTCTGTCCAATACACTGCAGTTTCCAAAGGAGACATAGGTCGATCACGAAAAGCTTCTGATAACTCTTTAGCCTTTTGTCTGTATCTATATTTAATAAATTGATAAATATCACAAATAAATAACTAGAATTGTCGCAAATTATATTCCAAAAGTCATAATGACTCATAAGATCATAAGAATAATTATTGACGTATTACTGCAGGTGGACCACGGTTCGTGATATTAAACATAATTACGATACACTTACTTAGGATTTGTGAGCATGGATGTTATTTTTATAAAAATATCATCTTCATTCAAATCTCCGTAATTCATCATCTCTGCAGCTCCTTTGCTTACAACAGCTTTGATGTTTGTCATTTGATCACCGAAAATTGGCATTGATAAAATTGGAACACCTTCATATACAGCTTCGGTAGTTCCCAATAGGCCACCATGAGATATAAATAGCTTAACATTAGGATGAGCTGTATACAAATAAAAATAAAATAAACATTATTTACACACAATAATTAACTTATACCTATTCAAATTCAATATTCATGTTCAAAAATTAAAATCTAATACAGTTTATACCACAAGTTAAATTTAAAATTGCTGCATTCGGTATATACAAACCGTAAATTTGCAATCGTTTATACAATTTTAATTAACGTCATAAAGTATGTCAAACGTATTAGTAGTATTTATAAGTACCTAATATATCTCGTTGAGGCATCCATTTGCGAATCATTACATTGGACGGTTTTCCTGGTAGTTCTCCTTCCCATTTCCACAGAATGCGTTGTGGGATTTTCTTAAAGACATTCAAGAACATTTGTCTTTTTTCGGGTGAAAAAGTTTCGCCTCTTAATAAACTGCCCATGCAGAAATAAATTACTCCATTCTCAGCTTCGTCAATATATTTCTGGATGTCCTGAGTATATGTATATGTAAAAATATTATTTAATTAATAACCGTATAATAGATAATTATAAAATAATTCAACAATATATTAGTGTTATTCAATGTTTTTTTTTAAATTTTGTTTGTATTCAAACCTCTTCCAGAAATTGTATTAATACTTCTGCTATACAATTTTTATTTTTAGGGTTAGGCTGGTGAATATTGAAATTATATTATTTGCTACAGAATATGGTTGTTCGATCGCCTGCTGATTCTATGGAATAGAGTTGAAACTAGGTACTTAAAAGTATAAAAAATATGTTGAACTTAAATACAAAACCCAAAATTAATTCTTTATTAAAAAGTCATGTAATGACTAAAAAAAATTTAGTAGGACCGTTTAATAAAGTCTTTGCGACTTTACACTGTCTAGTGTCTACCGTAAATATGGCATCGTATATTTTATAAAATAAAAATCCCAAACGATATTCCGTTGTATTTTGTTCATTGAATTGTCTTTGAAATGGTTGATGCAAGTCCTTGAATGCATAGAGCCACGGAGAGTAAACCATATTATGACGACTTAAGGTCTTAAGCCTTAATAACAATAAGATTAAAATGTGAAAAATAAATTATATTAGTTATTAGTTACTATTATAAATTTTACTAGGTTGTTTAGTCAATAACATTAAACTCAATACTTATAGTAAGTTAGGAAAACGTTAGCTTATGTGTACGATGTTGTGACTTGTGGTATATCGTATCTATATTATTTTATAATTTATATTTAATATGACAGGTCTGATACAGGCACATAAGTACCCTAGTAGGAAGTAGGAACGGGCGTATTGGCTGCTCTTCCAATCTAGAAAATGTAATAAGTCTTAAAAATGCCTCTCAGTTTTTTTCTTCTAGGATTTCACGAATATTATACGAGTATACTGAGGTTTTTTCTGATATGAATTTGTCATAATTTTATCGTGTACTACACTACTACTGAGTCACTGAGTATGTAGACAACAATTGTCTGTTTACAATTTATAGATTGGCATAATACACCCAATTATTATTAGGGCCGTTATAAGGAGGGGGTTGGGTCACTCCGGGAGGGCAAAAAAATTGCTTCTTGCCATTTTTGTTATTTGCTTATTTAAAAAATATATTTTATATCTGTCTTTAATATTTTATGACAAAAGAGGTGGATACAATCATTTCACTTCTAAAAAAAGTATGCCCAACTCAATGGTCATCACTGCATTCCATATATGGTCTATATTGCATATATCCAAATAAATTAAAATTGGGTAAATTTGCAGATAAAAATTAATTCAACTTATCTACAAAAAGTCTTCTAATTAGTATTGGTTTTGTTATGTGTGGGTGTCCCATTTAGTTTTTCTCCAGGGCCAGTGCATCAGCGGCAACACAGCAGCGGACACGATCGCTAAAGCCGTGTAACGTGTTGACCATCCACTGTGCGAGGTCCATAAGATTTCAGTAGGCTACCTGTATGCCGTATGTTGTGGCTGGTCGACCAACATGATCCATGTGATTAGCGGACAAGTGCTGAGAAAAACGTACGGCGGGTATACTTGGAAACGAAACCAAGAGAGAGATCGTTGTGAAAATGCTCAACAATGACCATGTCGGATCGTTAAAAAAACGCCCCACGGCCGTAACGTCGAACGCCCTCCGTAGTCTTAGCCATGTCGCGCGTGTAGGTGGAACATGTCCGTCAACTTGGTGTCTTTTTTTTTTACCTAGTTTGTAATCATATAAGTCTACAGCTGTCTCCGTTCAGAATCTTTTATCGTCCTTTGATTTATAATGATTTATCATTGAATTAAAATTTAACACATATATTAAAGTCAACTAACTATTGTTTATAGATACTTTACGGTTATACATTTATATAATTTTAATAGGTAGTAGGTACAGTTACTTATTTTCCTATTATAAATAGAGTTGTTGAAGTACCTCCGATGGGAGGCCTCTTCCTTCAGTTTTTTCTGTCTGTTTTGTTCTATTATCACTTAAGCTTATTATTCTAATTGCAACAGATAGCGTGATAAAGAATTTTATTAAAAAAAAAAAGAAACACAGTATTAAACTAACTTTTTCCAAAAATAATTCACAATATTCGCATATATTACATAATAATAATTATAATATTATTTCATAATATAATACTACTAGCCGTCATAAGTCAACACCGGGGTACCGTATATAGACGGGCTTGAAAATACTAGGTTTGTGGAATAAATAGCTTAAAAATAATCTGAATACATTGAAAAATTCAATGTGCTTAGTAATAATAATTAATATAATATATTATTGTTGTAGATTATTCGTAATGGCGTAATGATGAAAAGTTTCAAGCCACAATAAATAATATTTGTTGAATTACAAAGAAAAAGTAAATCTGTATTTTTCATTTTAATATTCAATTTTGTCAAAATCGGAACTTGACATATTCTATATAAATAATTGTGCATATACATCGTTGAAATGTTTAGGTGTCAGTAAACTCAATTTATGCGGAACATAGTATTAAATTCTCTATATAGCGGTTTTGAATGCAAAACTACGGATAATATCTTCTATTTATTTTATAATTTATTCATTTTTTATAATAGCTATATATATGCATGAACATATTATTTATGTAGGTACATTCATTATGCAATTAGGACATTAGGTAGATTACAAAATAAACTTTTATATATAGGTGAGTACTATTATACAGTGGAGTATTTATGAATTTTTCATGAGGGGGTCACATGTCAATATGAACATTTTCAATAAATAAAAAATGTTAACTCTTTTTTATCTATCAATTATAGCCATGAGACATTTTAGATTTAATTTTAGATTCTGAGTGGAACGATGAATGTATTGATTTTACAATGATGTGTGTTTTTTTTTTATTTTTTAATTTTTGTGTCTGCAGGGTACCTACACGATTAGTAGTCGAAATAATGCTTCGATTTTCAACTTCAGTACCTGGTTCGATTGGAAAGTGAATATCGTTGGTGCATTGCAGGGGAGGTCAAAATTTAAAATTCCCAGTAATTTTCAAAAGCACCAGGAAAAAACAAAAGAAAAATTAAGGAAAAACTGGAATTTTTAAGCAAAATCGATTTTTCACAAAATTGAATTTGAAAATTTGAAATTCAAATTTTTACAACATTGGATATTCACTCAATTTCTCATGTAGCGATTTCCTTATTTTGTTGTAATTCAAAAACGAATGACTGTAGATACATGAAAATTTCATTGAATATTTATATTAGCATTTCCTATACACCTTACAATTTTGAAAATATTTTGACTCTTAAAGCTGTTTACGGACATTTTCAGTTTTCAATTTTTTAGTTTTTTTTTTCTATAAATATCAATTAAGTTTTATCTGTTTTGCCAAAAAATGTAAAAATTTATTACAAGTCTCCTGAAATATTGTTACAATATCAGTTGAAAAATATTAAAAATACATGGTCACAATAATTTTTTTTATAAGCATTTAAAGATCGAATTTTGACAAAATTTATAAATTTAAAATTGAATAATTATTTTGTAGTTAAAATGTATAAAATGTTCAACTTTTATATCTAAGGATTGAAAATTTAAAACAAGATTTCACCTAGTTTAAACAAGATTCCACGTAAGTAGTTAATTCTGTTACCAAAAAATCTAAAAAAATACGCAAGCGCAGTTTATTTTTATAGTCATTTTAAGTTCAAATTTGGATGAAATTACATAAAAAAAACCTATAACTATTTTAGTTATTTTGTTGTGATTGTATAATATTATTCGTGGGTAGGTACTTGAAATTTCTAAAGTACTCTATTATATATCTATGATAGTATCAGGGTTTGCTGTTGATGTATAACGCGTTATATACTTAATGGATATTGTGAATTGTGATATGATTAATTTGGAATTTGTTATAGGTATCTATTATATTTTATTAATAATAATTTTGTTAATACCATAGATAAGTATATAATATGTCTTATACCTACACTGACATACCGTCTCCGCTCAGAATCGTTTTTCTTATTCAATGATATTATATCGTTGAATTCAAATTTAATACCATCCATTCATTATACACTGACCCACTTGTAACCTACTGTACAGCAGAGCACCTTTTTTTCGTTGTTTTTTTAAATTATTGTCAATAAATAATTTTTCCCTCGATCAAAAAACTTGAAAATGTAACGAATAAGTGGTTTTGGGGCTATTTATAGCCATGAGAAGTTTTCGATTTTTATTAAATGTTTTCAACTATTATCGATAAAAATTTCAATGGTAGTAGAAAGATCCAGACCCTATGGACTTAGTCCACTTTCGTATTTTAATATTCAACATTCAACTCGCAATCAGTGGCGTCATTGGCGGGCCGGATATGGGCCGCAAGCTCGCTATATAAATTAATATTTCAAATTATTTAATTCTCTATATTAGGTGTATTATTATGAATTATTCTTCTATTTTCAATGAGTATTAGTGTACCTATAATTATTAATTACTCTATTATACTCATAGACCTTATACCTTAGTATAAGGTCTATGATTATACTAGTTATAATGATAGTCTGTAGATAGTGTATCTGTGGGTCATGTGCACAGACATGTGTGGTCAAGTGTTATCAAAGTGATTATTTAATAGATAACTGATAAGAATTTAGGACTTCCCATGATATAATATAAGTTTATTGTTTATCGGTTCTATAATTAATAATACAATTTATAAAACCTTTTATTATATCTATGATCGCTTCATGCCTTATAAGTTACGGTTGGACTTGCCATTATTATTATTGTTGTATTATTATTGTATATTTTATTAGTTACAATTTTTAGTTTACATCAATATATTGTTAAGGCTAAATACTATTCTTATAATTAAATACATTTATACTCATATTTGGTGTAAATATTACATCAATTGGGATAAAATTCCTCTCAAAATAAGTCATCATATAATAGCTAATAGGTAATATAAGGTATCCCTCTACAATATAACATTGTACATAGTATTATATTATATGTATTATAATAGTATGTATTATTTAGTCTTTGTTATCCCTCAAAAAGTGAGTTATTTTGGCTTTATCTCGGATAACAGGTTTTTTTTTTTAGTTATATTTTGGGCCGGTCCAAAACTTTTCGAAAAACCCCTCTCGCAAAACTGAAATGGACTCCACTGCTCGCAATTTAACTTGAATAAATAAATTAAGCTTTATGAATTACTATTGTTAAAAATGTTAAATAAAATTAAGATACTATAGAATGGAAGTGTATTTGTCACGAAGTAGCTACAGCTAGGTACACGAATAAGTTATGTTTGTTGTATGTATGAATATTCTATTTGAACACAATATGAATAACTTGTAAATTACTAATTGTTTCTTGAAAACAAAAACCTGTAAGTACTTCATGTCTCATGAATAATAAACAACAATAGTATTATAATCTTACCTTTATTATTCATAACTATTCATATACTGTAATTTAAAAAAATATGTATGTTGTACATGAAACTTATATAAATTGTACCTACCTACGACCTATTTAAGTATCTGAGCAGAGTGACGAATAATATGTTTGTTTTACAAAGTAACCTAAATGATAGTTAGGTACTAGTATAATAATACTATAAAAAATTCGTTTTACAGATATTATGGGGTTTCCCGAAACACGAATCTTTTTCCTGATGGTACCGTGGTCGTAAAAGTTTGGAAACCGCTGCTGTAGACATATTCTAATGGACAGCAGAGCGCTAACCGCTTTTTAATTTTTTTTTCCTATTTATGTGATTTACTAGTAATTTGTTTTTAAGTACTTACAAATCAAACTTTAAAGTATATATATTTGTTGAATGGAACAACGAGTGCCAGACATACAATGTTCATATATTTAGATTCTGATCGAAATTATAATTTTAATGTTCATTTTTGTTTGAAGATACTTTTTACAGTAGAAAAGATATGATCGAAATTTCCACAAAATACGATCTGAAACTTCTAGGTATCTAAACTGTTAACAAATGGATCAAGTTTGTGTTTTGGTGAAATTTTCTACGTATACTTTTCAAAATAAGATGTATTTATACTTTATCACCTTATAAGCATTTAACATTTTTGAATTTTAGATTCTGAGCGGACTCATGAATGTTATATTGATTTAACAATGATGTGGGTATTTTTGTGGTCATCACGTTTGATTCTATAAACATGTTTCGGTTTTCTATTTCAGTTTCTAGTATTAATAAGTGAATCTAGTTCTAGTAGTTTTAAAAAGATTTGGCAAAAACAAAAAAATAAGAATAAACAGGACATTTTACTCAAAACCAGTTATTAACTGCAAATTTAATAATGGATAAACGTAGATGCTTTAAATCCGGGATGTCCAATCTTGTGTGAATACTGGGTCACATCATCATATGGGTAGAAGTTGTTGTGGGCCACATACTTTTTAATAACAACACATTCAAATTGAATGATTGTATTATATTCTATAATACAACAATACATTTTTTTATAATTTTTCTATACCGAATAATAAGCAGAAATTTTTTGTTGATAAATGACACGGAATAATGCTATTGGAGCCAATAAAGATAAATCACTAATAACGTTTATCTTTATTTGATGTTTAATATTTTGTAGTTTTATATTTTTTAAATAAATTTTTTTCTTAATATTAATTTATTCTTCTTCTTAATGTGCTGATCCGTTTCGGATGTTTTCGATCATCATTGATATACTAGTTTTATCAGTTGCTCTCCGGAATAGTTCTACTGAATTTTTATCGAATCATGTTCTTAGAGTGGCTATAGCCACGATGTTCTTCTTCTTCCAGGCGATCTTTTGCTATCTATTTTCCCTTGTAGGATACATTAGAGAAGATCATATCTACGCTTGTTCCGCATAATATGTCCTAAGTACTGGAGTTTTCTGGATTTAACTGTTGCCATTAATTTATTTTCCTTTCCCATTCTACGTAATACCTCAATATTGGTAATTTTCTCAGTCCATGATATTCTCAAAATTCTTCTGTATAACCATTAATTATATACAATTAACTGATGGTTTTTAAATTAAAGTGATGGCCGCATCAAAATCGACCACGGGGCGTGGGTTTGACACCCCTGCTTAAAATTTTCATAAAATGTTTAAATTCGCGTTTTATTTCCACGAACATTTGAAATGTTTATAGGAACGAAAAATTTTAAATTTAGTCAGTTTTTATGTTCAACTATTGACGATGCATAATTTCCCCCTGTGAAAGCTTGAAAATTTAATAGAAGGTTCCTTATAATTATTTTATACTGAAACCAAAAATTCTAAAAAAATATATATATTAGCTGTATACTGAGTTTTTTTTTTAAATTTTAACAAAATATTTGAATTTGCTTGTAACATTTTTTCAAGTTCAATTCGTATAATATACTATTATTAATATAACCTCACTTATATGCTTGAGTTACTGCAGTACATTTTCTTATCACAATTATTTATAATTGTTTAGGAATTAATTATTATCACTTGAATTTTAATATTAATAATTGTTCATAGTTCATATTATGTTTCACTTAGATACACCATAATATAATCAAATATTTTTTATGCACTCCACATAATATAAATGTGCTACAAGTGTATGAATTATTAATTGATAATGATGAAAATGTAATTACCTCATTATTGTAAATATATTTTAATTTTAACTTTCCTCATGATGCAGTATACGATTATCTGACATAAACAAGCAATCGTTCGTATCTGTATAGTCAAGTAGAGTTTATAGGTAGGAAGTGAAGTAGTTCGTTCAGTCTTCATAGTTCATACACTGTTGATAGTTCCCTTTTGATATAAAATGTATACAACTACCGATCTATTGTATTATATATTGTTTTTTAAAAAAAATCAATTCAATAATTAAGCTTTAGATTTTTTCACTAATTTTCAAAAAGGTCTATTTAATCAAAAATGTTTTGATTATGATACAAATTTCTTCATGCAGGATTGTCTTGCAGTGTGTAAGCCTCATGGGATATATATAGTATTGACTTAAGGTCAACAGAACTATTGCTATTTAACAATTGAAAATTAGCTATTCTAGCTTTTATTGCCGGTGTCCTGTCCTGATTAATCAAGGCTTTAAGTCAAACATTTTATTGTCTGCAATGAATTTTAAAATGTTCTTCTTAAATGAATCCTACTGATTTCAATATATTAAATACAAGTAAATTTCAAAAGTATAAAGATAAAATTCGTCACTTATTAATATTCCAGCAATACCATTAGGAAATATAAAAGAAATCAATAGTTGTTATTAATCCTTAAACAACAGTAAGTATAATATAATCTATTAATCTATATAAATGCCTTTTTGATTTTAAATTTTATGTTCTACATTTTTTTAAAATATAATCATGATAATTTCTCAGCAGTAAAAATTATCCTTATTATTTTTAATATAGGTATAGGTATATAGTTTGCTCTCCGTATTGGCGTATTACATAACATTGTTATGCAATATTATTGCCATTATTACCACCACTAACCACTAGTTCACTAGTTAATAGTTATCCATTATTGTAACGTGGTTTGTAAAAATATATTAGGACACAATACAGTTAGAAATACCAATTTAAATTATATTCTTAACAGTTAATAGGGTATAGAGCACTGTATCGTTGCGTCTTAACTCTTAACTCTTCTTACTCGTACAGGACAATAAATTATGTTCCGACAAGTTCGAGACAAATGTAATGTAGCAGTATTGGTTCATGAATAATATAATATATAATATATTATATTTATCTATATGTATATGTATTGTAATTTGTAAGCATTGTAAGCCTAGTATCATATATTGACCAATTATTTAAGTACCTACCAGTGGCGTATATATGGGGGAGGCCCCCTAGGCCAGAGCCCATACTGAAATTGCAGGTTCAATTAAAGCATTTCATACATATCTACACTGTTTACAATTTTTCACCATGATTAATTTAGCCAGTTGATTAAAATCGTTTTTGAGGTATCAACAAGGAAATGATTGTCAGGACTTGCTTTGATGACTTTGAATGTTAAATTCAAAGTAAGATAACATTAAAATATATATATATATGAAATTGTCAAATAATTTTTTAAAAACAATTAAAAAATTAATTTTACATAATTATTATAAAATTATATTGCGCAGTTTTTATTTGTATCATTTATTTATTTATGTCATAATTATAACCATCCTGCAGCTCCCTAAAATATGTATAGTTATGGCTATGTTAGTCGTGCTTGACTAGTGATAAATTGCCAAAATTGGCCTATAGTGAAAATAATTTGTATATACGCTACTGGTACCTACCCACTATAAGACACATAATATGATATATTTTGATAAAGGAAATGTCGAAAATGACAAGTATTATATTGATGTGGCCGTGTGGGTATTTAAAAATAGTAACGTAACAACTATGATTACAAAATTAAAAAAGATTTCAAGTTACTATAATACACAAGTCGATTTATTGTTATAATAGATAATACTATAAAATACAAGCATATACTAACGGCTGGCAAGTGTTTCGGCGGCATGACGTGCATCCCACCGGTCTCCTTTACAGCAGGCATGGTCGGTGACACTCCGTTTAAGGACCAGTGCGTGTTGACCAATACCAGACTGACGTTGGACGCCAACTCGTCCAGGGACACGTCCAGGCCCAAGTGTTTTCTCAGCGTACGTTGGCTCCAGGGCCGGTGCATCAGCCGGAACATAGCAGCGGACACGATCGCTACAGCCGTGTTGGTCATCCTTTGTGCGAGGTCCATGCGTTCCGGCAGACCGCTGAACAAAGACGGTCTGTATGCCGTAAGTTGTGACTGGCCCACCAATGACATGGTCCACGGCAATAGTGGACAGCTGCTGAGTAAAACGAACGGCACGCGGTACTTAGCAGCGAAACCAAGCGGCAGCTCGTTGTTAAAATGCTCGGCGATGACCAGGTCGAACGACACGGTCCGATCGTCGAGTAAACGTCTGACGGCCGGTACGTCGAACACGGCCTCCGTGGACTTAGCAATCTCGTACAGATTGAACATGTCCTTCAACGTGCCGACGATGCCGAACTGCCCGGCAGTGCTTGGGAACGTGACATTGTTGTTGGCCATGGGCATGGAGCCCGCGACGCTGATGTCGGTAATGTTTGGGTGAGACGAACCGAAATTGCTAATTACGTGCACGTCGTGTCCGCGGTCCGCCAGTGCCCGCAGGTAAGGCAAGAACACCATGTGATGGCTGTACCCGTGGTGTGTGAACACTCCGAGTATACGAGTCGCGGACGCGCTGTAAGGCGCGGCCACGGTGGACGCGACGAGAAAATATGTCACAGCGGCGTTCACCATAATTTCCGGCGTAGTGTCGCGCGAACTATATAATATGCGACTGATTGTCGGGACGTTGACTTAAACTGCGCGCGTCACGCAGTTGTATAATATGTACATGCTGAATACATACCAACGAGCGTGCCGAGCAAAGTAATTGAAACCGCCTCGACATAAATCACAGATAAAAATATAATATAGGTGTCGTCTTATATTCGTCATCAGTATAATATAATACTAATACCGTTTAACTTCTGTTTCACCGATTGATTTTTTAAAACGTATAAAACGTACGTTTTTATTAACCCTTTTTCAAATTATTATTATTACATTTTATTCGAAGGAGTAGTAATTTCAAAATGTTGTGCTTCTTTTAAGTTTTTTTTTTCAAATTATGTTGATTTTTATTTTTATTTTGAGTCAACATCTTGACAAATAGAAAAAACATTGTCATGGTTTTTTTCTTATGAACGTTATATTTTAAGTTAGAAATTTAGTCAAAGTTTGTCGAAATCACGAAAATGCGCACATCATTTTGATGTTGAAAATGAATACAATTTTTAATTTTAATACCCAAGGCTTGAACTTTTGATACAAAGTTTCTCATAAGTCATAACTCATAAGTATTTTTTTCTGCCACTTTTAAAAAGTAATTAAGTTACTTTACTCGTTACTAAGGGATAAATGTAACTAAGTTACTTAACTCGTTACTCAAATAAAATTTTAATGAAATTACTTTATGTTTTAAATAGAAAAGTAACTCATTACTTTCTCGTTACAAAAAAAAAATTTTAATTTCTTGGCAATTTTCTTCTGTAGGCAAATTGAACAAGCAAATTCTTTATAAAACCTGTATAGTTAATAGGATCGTATATAACTTAGTCTTCCACACAAGCTATTCACAGGAAACCTATTTAAAGGAATCAAATTAAATTAAATTAACTGTTCTCGTGATTTAAGTGCAATTGGACATTTCAAATGTCAAAACCATTGAAAAATCAATTGTGGCGTGTTAAGATTAAATATATATACATATTAGATTTGTGAACATAATAATACCAGCTTTATACATGTATTTTTTTTTCAATTCGCAATAGGTAGGTAGGTACTTAATAATTCGAAACTGTAACGCGATATTTTATAGAAATTACTTTTCAAAAGTAATTTCCATTACATTTTCGTTACTTGGAAATGATTTTAATGAAATTACGTAATGTGTTACAAGCAAAGTAACGCCGTTACAGTAACGCGTTACTTTCGTTACGTTATTACCCAACACTGTCCACTCTATAAAATTCAAGAAATATTGGCTTCGAGGTGCACTCTGGGTTCTCTCTCGGTGAACGTAGTTGCGTTGAGCCCTAAAGTAAATAACTATGGGCAATAGGTATTGAAACCAGCAGTAATGTACCCATTTTGACTACACCAAACGCCAACAACACTTTCTGGTTGCGTGAAGTATTCAAAACAATATTTATACTTTATAATACACCACATTTTAATCAGTAATTATTTACTCAGATAAAACCCTAAAAGAACTAAAATCAAAGAACAATCCTAAAATCCTGCGTACGCTACATTATGTAGATACCGCTTATAACAAAGAATTTATATTGTAACCGTGGTTAGTGGTCACAGCTTACAACACAAGGTTTTATTTGTGTGACTATAATTTGATGAACAATAATATTAGCTGAATAATATTAATATTTATCTGTGGGTATAGTACCTAGATACTTGTATATTGTTCTGTGGTAGGTACTACATAAAAATTTTGCAGATATGCAGTAATGCAGTATAAACCAACTAATGTCAAGTGGCATACTATACTAGCTATGTAATTAGAGAATAATATATATATATATATATATATTATTAGTATAGTTTTATCGTCCATGGACACCAGTAAACATGGATGGAAAAACGTATGCAGTATCATATTATATGTGTTTTTGTCAAAATTCCGAAGAAATGTTGAATTTCTTAAAAATAAATTACCTCGTGATAAAAACTAATTTGTTTTATTTTAATCTTTTATCTTTTAGTTACCAAATAAATAAATAACTCATTGCGCATCGTTAATACATACATTTATAGGTGCACACCAATATATCATAATTTATAGTATAATATAAATCTAGCTGATCCAGTGCACTTCGTCGCCCTTTAAATGTATCAACTCAATATGACTCAAACTTTGTTCAATTCATTATTCAATATTCGGTGTATGGTGTTCAAAATTTATCTTATCTTTTCCGTTGTCCGGAATAAAAATTCTGAATCGCAGCAGTACATTATCAGGTAGGCAATCTACCTGCGGTAGATCGCGGACCCCGTGCTGTTTGTACGGAAGTGTATGATTAACTCTAAAGTATCAAAGTTATACCAAGTTTATTTTGATATAATACGGTGGATTAATATAACAAATTTGGTTGCTCGTAAAAAATCACAACTCTTAAAAAATATATGATTGTTGAACTCCTTTTGGGTGTAACTTGCTGCGGTAAGTGCAACTCAGCCACCCTGGTAGGCAATGTTCAATAATTTGATTTGATGCAAGCTTGCACCTGATCTGCCCGGATAACCAATGGCAACCAATAAATAAATGCTAATTTCTAATGTAGACTGTAACCAATGGCAACTATTAATAAATAAAAATAAAATTTCCAATTTCCATCTTGAATCTCAATGTCCCTGTTTGAGCACCTATTTAAAATGCGAATTTCGAAAAATCCTTTCTTAGCGCACGTCTACATCATAATAGCTATCTGTATGCCAAATTTCAGCCAGATCCGTCCAATGGTTTGAGCTGTGCGTTGATAGCAGTCAATCAGCTTACTGTTTTATATATACAGATATATCGTGTATCTGTAACTAGTACCTAACTACTCTAGAGTATCGACTATCGAATACATATAGTATCGAACTATCGAAGTAATGAAGTATTCCAGGATATTACATCAATCTAACCAGAATACCAGATACTTCTAACATTTTGATTATTTCCAGTAATTCAATTTTGATTTTAGATTCTGAGTTACATAAGTGTCATCGGTGGGTGGCTTCTTAGCTCATAATTTAATGTTTTTTATTGTGTCTCAGCTCATACTCTTATTGTGCCGATTGCGTACAGATTGTGTATTACTAATAAAGAAAAAAAAAAAAGATTCTGAGTGGAACGTTGAATGTATTGATTTTACAATGATGTGTGTTTTTTTTTTTGTGTCTGTGGACACGATAAGTAGTCTAAATAATGCTTCGATTATCAACTTCAGTATCTTGTTCGATTCGAAAGTGAATATCGTTGGTGCATTTGGGAGGTAATTCCCAGTAATTTTCAAAAGCGCCAAGAAAAACAAAAGAAAAATTAAAGAAAAACGGGAATTTTTACGCAAAATCGATTTTTCACAAAATTGAATTTGGTTTTTCGTGTAACATTAAAATAAATGACCGTAGATACATGCAATTTTCACTGGTTGTTTATATTTGCATTTTCTATATACGATACAATTTTAAAAATATTTTGATTTATTTTGAACTGTTTAGAGACATTTTCATTTTCCATTTTTTTTTGTTTTTTTTTCTAAAAATATCAATAACATTTTATTTGTTGATTAAAAAAGCTTGAAAATTTAATAGAAGGCTCCAAGTATATTGTTTCAAAGGCAGATGAAAAATATTAAAAATCCTTAGTCACAGTTTTTTTTTATAAGCATTTAAAGTTCAAAAATTGACAAAATATGGAAAAATCACGAAAATTAGCAAATTATTTTGAGTTAAGAATTCATAAAATATTTTCTTTTTAATTCTAAGATTTCAAAATCTAATACAAGATTACTCATAAGTTTGTCTACCTTTATCAATAAAAAAATCTCTACCAGAAAGTCAAATTAAATTTTTATGAGCGTTTGAAATTCAAATTTTTACAACATTGGATATTCACTTGATTTCTCATGTAGCTGCAATTTCCTTATTTTGTTGTAATTCAAAAACGAATATTTATAGATACATGAAAATTTCACTGAATGTTCAGATTAGCATTTACTATACACTGTACAATTTTGAAAAAATTTCGACTCTTTTTGAGCTGTTTACGGATATTTTCAGTTTTCAATTTGAAACACGATGTAGATAAAACGGTGACTGCATCGGCGTAACTAGGGGGGGGGCTAGGGGGGCTTAGCCCCCCTGCAGTTGTATTAAGCCCCCCTAGAAGGTTTTACATTTTAGCCTCAAATCGAGCCTGTAGCTAAAACCCAAATCCGAAAAAATAAGAAAAAAAATGTTTAAAATAACTCATATGTCATAACTCATAATAGTCATAATTAATAAATATTTTATACATATTGATATTGTTTTATTGTGGATGTACCAAAAACAAATTTTTAAGTAATTGGTTACCTATAGTTATAGCGGAAGAAATTGTCTTGACGTATTGTATTGAGTCAATAAATACTAATGAGTAATGACATATCACAATATATAAATTATTAGGTATTGTTCACATATGGCTAAATATGGTACATTAACTATTGAAAGAATTAAACTTAGATAATATTCCTATCGTTGCTCAATCCTATGATGGGGCCAGTGTGATGTCTGGTTGTAGAGGAGGTGTGCAAACATTACTTAAGAAGTATCATCCTAGTGCTGTTTACATTCATTGTATGGCCCACAGGCTAAACTTAGTGGTGGTTGATATGTGTAAAAATGTGAAGGTATGTACTATTATATGTAGTTATCATCTATTTATGTATATAATATAAAATGATAATATATTATAAAATTTAAAATATTTTATGATTATAGTACAGTAAAAACGTTTTCAATGCTTTAGAAGCAATTTATATACATTTTTCTATGCTTACTATGAATAAAAAACTTCAAGATATGCAAGTCAAACTAAAAATGAATCTTGTAACATTATCAATAATTAGTGATACACGTTGGGTGTGTAGGAATAAAAATTGTAAAGCTCTTATTGAAAACTTCAAATTAATTGTAGATGTTTTACAAGAAGT